GGGGGCCCCCCCCCCCCCCCCAGGTGGGGGGGGGGGGGGCCCCGGTCCCGGCCCCCCGGGGGCCCGGGCCCACGGCCCGGGGGGGAACCCCGCCCAAGGGGATGGGCCCCCCCCCCCCGGAATCCCCCTTTTTGCAGAGCCGGCGTGGTTTTTTTTTTCGGGGCTTCGGGCGAATTTCCACCCCGCCCCCACCATAAGCCCCAACCCAGCCTGTCGCCGGGCCCCGCACCTCCCCTGCCCGGCCTCTCTGTGCAGACCGACGCCGCCGACGCCATCCCCCGGAGCCGCGAGTCCGGGCCTCCCAGCGCCGCCCGGGTCCGCAGGGCTCGCGCCGAGCTGGGCAGCAGCAGCAGCAGCTCGGGCTCTGCAGCCCCCGCGGCGACCACCTGCAGGGGCCGGAGGCGCCACTGCTGCAGCAGCGCGGAGGCCGAGACCCAGACCAACTACTCCAACCTCCAGGTAAACGCCAGGCGCGGGCACAGCTGGTGGGGGCCACCCGCCCCGTCTGTCCGGTTTGCACGGGGAGGGGGCGCCAGCGGAGTTGAGTGGCCGTGACGCGGTGGGGTTGGGGAGGTTGTCACTAAGGAGGAGTTTACTTTTCATTTGTGGGGGTGATGAGGGCCAGGAAAACTGAGCAGAAAAGACCCCTGGAGGGGGGTCCTGGGAGCTGGTTCTGGGGGAAGGGGTGGAAAAGGGAGCGCACTGGGGAGCCGGCAGGCTGGCCGGTTTTCCAGGGAGGGAGGAAGGCTGTGCCTGGGTTAATGCGAGAGCAGGGCTGGGTGTCATTGAGAGCATTCAGCGGTGAGTCTGATTGAATGAAATCGGAGCACCCGGACGACTGGCGTGTCTTTTAAGTGCATGGTGCAGACCTGGGGCAAGGATGCCTCGTACTCCCGTTTTTACCTGGGAAAACCAGCCCAGCTGCATGGAGTCTTGGGAGCTAGGCTGGGGATTTGTGAATGAATGAGGGTGTCTGTTCTGTGGGAGATGGAGGGAGAGAACCAGAGTGGAACCTGTTGTTTGTCCCTAGTTTGGGTTGGCTGCAGACGGGATACAATTGAGAGAACCTGCCTTGAGTTTGTAGGGTCAGGGGAGCCAAGTGAGGGGAGTTGGCTTTCAGTGCAGGGCAACTGTCTGAAGATGAAGATTCTGCACATACATCTCATCTTCCAGGAGGGTGGAATTGTGAGGAAGTGGAGAAAATGGTTTAAATGATTAAAGCAGTCACCAGATATTTCTGAATGGCAGGAGAAAAATGATTACTTTAATACTGCCCTTCTGTATGTTCTCAAAATGCTATTAAATCCAAGAGAGTTTTCATTGTGTAAACCTGGCCACTGGGCCTTTTATCCATGTAGCAAACAGAATGACAATGGCACATCCGTGTTGCAGAGGGAAAAAAAATACATCTCCATGACTTGTAATGTTACATAGAAGCTGTGTGACATCCACAGCTTGTACATGGTCAGTGGGTCACCAGCGACCGTTCCATTGCTTATACACAATTGTATATTTAATACTTGAAAAAGTTGTTCCACAATTGGTCTAGTGTGAGGAGCCTTCTGGTCTTCATTGGATAAAGCCAGCTCCCAGTGGAGGGACGGCTTATGCTGGCTTCAGTCTAGAAGACCAAAAGCCTCTTTTAGTGCACTTATTTTAGCAGCATGATTTTGTAACATGAAGCTAACATGATGGTTATGTATGGTTGTAGGCTTTTATTGGTAATAATTATATATGTAGTATCATAATATAATCATTATAATAAAACACCATTTATTGAGCCCTACTATCTGCCAGCTAATAAGCTTTCTCTTCTAGCTTTTGGATGTTAACCATATGATGATAGAATTTCCAAAGACTAGAGACCTGGGTGCATGACAGTACAATCTACCACTGGAGCATTTGTTATAGAGGCATGTGCAGAACAGTATGTTTTTCTTTTGTCAAGTTTTTTGTATTTTGTTTGTTTTGCTTTTTTACACAGTGGTTCACATAAAGTTTGCATTAGGAGAAATTTCAGGGAAATAAAATTTTATATTTGGTTAAATAATTAAATCGGGATATTATCTTAAAGACTATCCTTTTGCCTTCTTGTTGAAAAGGAAATTTGAGGACATGAAGCAGGAGTTTAGAATAGTGACAACTTATGAACTTTGAGACTTTTTTTAGTTGCTTCAGAGAAATTGTGTATTTTGCCTTTCAAAGTAGCAGGATTCCCAATTTAGTACCTGGCAACTCTAGCTACCCCATGTTTGTTCAATGAAAGAAAGAATAATGAATGAATTCATTCCCTATGTTTTAGTACTTCCCTCAAGAGGCTACTTAGAGACCAAATGGAGTAAAAACTGGAGGGAAAGTGAGTCCCAATTATTAGCAGCTAGTATAAACTTGTATAAACATCATTGCTACTTGGCTGAAGTGTTAAAAGGCTTGACCTGCATTGGAATTTAACTCACTGCTTTATCAACAAGATTTCCAAAGAAGAGCTTAATTCATTCCAAGCTATTACTAGGAATGTTGGGAATGAAACTGGTGGTTTAATGATTCAGCACTAATTTGCATGTGTAGATCTCAGAAACTATAGATTTGAAATGAAATATGAGACCAGAATTATTATACAAATCCTACAGAATTATTACTGCAGAATTGCTTTATATATTTAATAGTATCATTCTAGACTGTGATTCAGTGTGATATCTTTTTTTCAATCTTCACATGTTCCATACTCTTTTGTAGTTAAGGTAATTTTGTAAAAACTACTTTTATTTCTTCTTAGAACCAGAATTCTTCCACCTAAGAGTCTGAGATAGTTGCTAGTCATGGCTTCCATGCTCCCCCTCTCTAAGATGCTCAAGTAGAAAAGTAAAGTCTTTGCTATGTTGTCTTGTTTACAGTGGGCTATAATAATTGTTTTTTAAAAATTCCCTTTGTACATCAATTATAAACCATATCCTCATTATTTACTTGGTCTCTGATGTTCCCCAGAGTACAAAAATTTGTGCTTGATCTCTCACTCTCTCTCCTTTCTAGCAATAATTCATCTCATTAAGCTTTTAGAATGATGAAGCATTATGATGTCAAACATGATGTCAACAGGAACCTTCCTGAATACCTAACTTACAAAAAATTATAAACATTAATAATTCATATGCAGTACAATGATATCATATGGGTTTCCATTTCTGGTAAGAAATTAGATTTGTCTCCAATTGCTGTAAAAATGCAACTTCCTAGCAATTTCTCTCCATCTTGTTTGCCTTTTTAAAAATAGTACTCCAACAGGAGAATCCTGCAGAATGCTCACTTCTGATACTGTGCCAGTTTTGTGATTCTTGTTCAGAAATCCTCAGAGGAGATAGTTGAACCTCTCTCTGGGAAGATCCGGGGGTTCTTACACGTCTTTTCTCATACCAGCTGTTGCAACTGGGGAGGCAGCTGAGACTAGGCAGCTAGTTGTAGAAAGTCTGTATTGACGTACAGTCAACTGGCAGCCATCTCTATGTAGGTTAACTGTTTTGTGGATCGGGCACAGGAGGTGCAGTTTCCAAATGATTTTGTGCTGATAGGCAGCGTTGCCAGTTCCCACTTTCTCTTCCATTCATCATGCTGACTTATGCATTTAGCCAGTATTTGTGCCAGACGCTGTGGTAGACACTAGGGATCCAGGGAATAGCCATGGAGTTTGGTAAGGAGAGCCGATGAGGATGGAGAATCTCTTGCAAAAGAGTGTGTCTAAGCCACTGATTAATGACTTCTATAATATTCATTCCATGGCCCCCCAGAGTTTAAAGGGAAAAGCAATAGATACTTTTCTGACCTTGTGGTAAATAATTAATGATATTTCTATTTGGGGGAAGGATAGAACTGTTTTGAAAAGTATTATTTTTGCTCTATAAGTCATTAGTGTACATGAGAGTCACTTGGAAGTCTTGATAAAATATAGATTCTGGCCCCAAACCTCAGTTTCTGATTTAATAGATCTTGGGTGTGGCCTGGGGATTTTCTGACAAGCTTCCAAAAGATGCTAGTGTGGTTGTTCTGGGGAACCACACTTTGAGAACTGCTGCTTTTAAATGCATTAAACTGACTGTCGGTTAATGAGTGTAGGGCAGCACATCCCTGTATTTGGTGTACTAGTTGCAGCTCTGCCTTCACCTTAGTTTGCTTTTATGTGGGCCACCTGCTATCTCCATTCATGAAGTCGAACTCTGAGCCGCCGAGGCTGGCTGGAAAGTTTGTCAGTGCGGAGAGTGCTGGCCATGTAGCCCACTCTGGTTTCTTGAAGTGTGACTTCCCCTCAGGACCCACTGGGGTTTGTAGACGCTGGTGTCTTGCTTTGCCATCACGTGTCACATGTGCTGTGCCCTGCGGGAGCCCTGTCCTGCCTGAGGGAAAGTTGCAAGGCAAGGGAGGAGCTTAAACAGGTCCACATGACATGGTACAGAATCATGTTCAGTCCTCAACTCTTGAAGTTCTTGCTAGACCTTTTCACCATTATTTTTTTTTTCATTTTAAAATAGAGCATAAGTCTTACAAGTTGATTTAGTAAAACTCAAATTTACTTCCTGCCATAGCTCAGTTTTCACTGTTTTCTTTAGAGTTACATTAATTTTTAAGGACTATCAGATAATTCTCCCTTATTTTAACTTTTGTTAAATAAGTCCTCAAAACAGAAAGTAACATAGTGCAAGCTGCTCGCTTTCCAGAGGTGCTACTTCTCTCCTGAAATGCCACCCCGGTGACCACTGGGCAAGACAGGCTATGCTGGCGAGGACAAATCTTGTGGCACCAGGTTGATGATGGGTTAAGGCCAGGAATCAGAATAGGAAGGAGGGAGTGAGCCCTACAGAACCAGGTGGGAAGACAGAGTCCAGAATCTAAAAGACCAGCAGAGTTGGGGAGGAGCAGGTGAGTACTCTGGGGCCAGGTGGGCAAGTAAAATCTGGAATTCAGGGACTTGGCAAAGGTGAGAGTTGTTGAACCAGGTTGAGACTTCTGATTGGAGGACAGACACTGTTTACTTCCTTCTATTTGGGTTTCTCCCCTGAGGGTGAAGAGCTCGGTGCCTGTAGGAGACACCGGTGACCAATCAGAAGGCTGTAAGTAACCTCTGCACCTAGGTGAGGCAAGACTAACGCACCTGGCCTTCCTCACACCTGATCAAATAGTGTCTGAACAGGAAACAGATTGCATATTCATAAGGGTAATTGAAAATTAATCTAATGACTATTTCAGAAGTGTTAGGATGAAAGAAAATCATTCCAGTGATGCTGAAGCACCCTAAGATAGAAAAGGGGAACTTAGAAAAAGGCAATAGGAGGAAATGGTTATGGGAACCCAAGAAAAACCTATAGGATAGGGAAGACCCAGAAGCTGTGGTCTTAAGGAGGAAAGCAACAGTTGGAAGTCTGTGGCCTGGCAGGGGAGCCAAGGGAGTAAATACTTTCCATTCCATTGTC